TTCTTGCTTACAAATCGAGAAAGGTTCCTTAAAACGGAACCGCCGGTCAGTGTTAATCTTAAAATGACACTTCCTAAATCTCTACTCAGAGGTCCACAGAATCATTTGTTTTGTCATTGCAGCAGTCAGCTGAACCATTCCTCAGTAATTCTGTCTCCCCAACACATTCATATAGAATCATTCTAGCATATGTATGTGTATGGATGCAACATTTGTTCTACAGAAGACAATGTTGCTGCCTACAACTGATCTCTTATTTATTCGTTTTGGAATCCCGTCTTCCCTACAAAATTACTTCTAACCCCTCCTCTTTCCTGGCACCATCTGGTTACTGTGAAGGACTCCGGACTCCGAACTTCCTTCCCCCTTTATTAAAAGTACGTGGATGTGAAATTACAAGATTAAAAATGATTATGAAAATGTGTAGGGAGAAGTGAGCAAGAATGTTTAAAGCAGGGAAATACAAATCTGACTCAGCCCTCTTTTGCTCCAATTATACCCAGTGGGAGAATTTTGCCATTGATTTAAAAGAGATCAGGATCGGGGCCATATTCATCATTCATGAGTTTCTTGGTTTTCCAAGACTCTTGCATCTTACTGCTAATGCTATATTGCATCTTGTGTTCACAATGCAAATTTCCAGAGTAAATTAAAACCGGGACTTCAACCCCGCCCTTCATGTCATGAAGTCTGGGGAGCTGCTGGTTTATGTCGTATCCTTGTTTTGCAATCTGAGTCGTTCGCAAATCCCTTCATACAGAGAAGTTTTGCACGGAGCTGGTAGCTACCCTGATCATAAATCCCCAGCCTTCTCCACCCCTCCGGGGCCCTTCTGCCTCGGGATTTGAAGATCTCAACGAATAAAGTGAAGGGTTGGAGGGATCGTTGTTCTGGATGTTTAGTTGTTTTAGCAATCGAAAAGCGATGACTAAACTAAATCGTGCAGAAAGTTCCTGCCCTGCAGAGAATGGGAAGCAGAATTACATCCCCTGGAAAGGGCTTGATCTATTTCCTGGAGATAGGAACAGAGATTCTGACACAAATGGCATCTGCCAGTAGTTTGCATTTCGCTTTAAACGGACTTGCTCCAAAGCAAAACGGAACGTTCTGAACACATCAGCTGGGAGATTATAAGCAACGAAATCCCCACC